CGAAGGAGGTTTGGGCTAAGTGAGAATTCTTTCCCTCTTTTTAAAGCTCTCAATGGGTTAATTATATTTTGCAGATTTGGGGAAGGGGTGCTGGGGGGCGGGCGGAGAAGAGAGGATTTCGAATAACTCCTTGAGACAAGGCTAACAATCCTGTGCGTTCTTTTGTGTTCGAGTGACACTATATATATCTGCAAAGGCAAGGGGTCATTTTTCTGACCGAAGGCAGCATTCCCTCCTGGGCAACCTCTGAGGGGGAGGGCACATGTCAGTGGTGGGCGGGACCAGGGACAAAGTAGGCGGGGCAACCATTGTAAAATTTTGCCTTTGTACAGTAGGTTGGTTTCTACATGAGCCCTCCTCTCCATACTTCAGCCAGGCAGGTGAGAGACATTATCAGAGTTCAAGGACACACAAAACCCAGCCAAAGACATTCCAGGAGGGTGTGGATAAGGAGAATCCTGATAGAGAGGCTTGCCCTGATTTATTACATCCATTCCACCCCTATTAGCAACTATCTTGTGAACTGCCCTGAGATTGATGGGTGAAGGGTGGTAAACACATTTTAATAATAATAATAATAATAATAATAATAATAATAATAATAATAATAATAATAATAATAATTTGATAGCCTCAAGATAGCCTCCTATCCCTTTGCCACTTTCCCCAGAGGAGGACAATGCAGAAATGGTGGAATCTAGTTGGTTAAAGTCTCTAAGCTGTTTGAAATTCCGTGTGCTGCCAGGCCACTGTTAGGGGCGGAGACTGCTTGAGTGGTGCAGTTTGCTGTTTTTAGACTCTGGCTTTCAGAATGTAACAGACTGGCTGGACACAGGGGGATGTTGGGAGGAACCAGCTGGGGGACTCCCAAGGAAAGAAGGCTCAGAGCCTAGGAAGTAGTGGTGGGATTACAATGAGTGGCCAGAGGGAGAAGACTGGGAGGAGGAGGGGTCAGCAACTGAAGAGGTGACAGGGCTTAGTGAGCAGGGAGAGTCTGTGACAGAGAAAAGTCCAGAATCAGGGGCAGAAGCTGAAGCAGGAGAGGAGGGAGGCCAAGAGGCAGAGATGAGTCAGGCAGGTGTTCCCCACTCCTGTTGCAGCAAGCTCCTCTCCTCCCTGGTCTCCCAGAACCAGAAGAAGCATGAAGAGGGTGGAGAAGTTAGCTTCATGGGGGCGCAGTCTCTGATTGCTTAGGGAAAACCCTGGAGAGGAGGGGACTTAGGCAGCTGTGGAGAGGTGGGGAACCTTCAGTCTCAGCCGCTGCTTCATGGAGGCAAGACCTGCCGGAGATGAGTTGCTCTGCTCATTAGGCCTGGGAAGCTCACCCAAGTGCAACAGCAACTCGTGTGACTCCCAACACAAGAGGCAGCATTGCTACCTCCAACAGTGTAGGAAGAACACAGCCATTGTGGCTACTAGCCATTGGTTGCCTTCTCCGCCATGAATTGCTCTGATTTTCTTTGATAAGGCATCCATATTGGTAGCCATTACTCCATCTTGCAGAAGCAAGTTTCCTAGGTTAGCTATGGGCTGTGTGAACAAGTCCTTTCTTTTGGTCTGTCCTGAACCTTCCAGCCTCCAGTTTCATTGGATCCGCTCACCCCCGGAGTTTTAGCATTATGAGGGAGGGAGGGAGGGAGGGAGGGAGGGAGGGAGAAAAACCTTCCCCTTAATCCACTTCCTCTACATACATTTATAATTTCAAGTACCTCTACACACACACACACACACACACACACACACACACAATCTTCCCATAACACACACCTACAGCAGACCCTCCAGGTGTCCCTATTTTCCAGGAACAGTCCCAGATTTACAGCTGTCCCGGTTTCTGATTTGATCCCGGACTGTCCCACTTTTCCTTAGGACATCCCTATTTTTATCAGAGAAGTGTTGGAGGGTATTGAGTTATGCGGGGGGCCCGAGCCAAGGAAATAAGTACAGTGGACGCTCGGGTTGCAAACGTGATCCGTGCGGGATGCTCGTTCGCAACCTGCAGCGTTTGCAACCTGCAGCTGTGCATCTGTGCACACGCTGCTTGCAATTCGGTGCTTCTGCGCATGTGTGACCGCCGAAACCTAGAAGTAACCTGTTCCAGTACTTCCGGGTTTCAGCGGTCCGTAACCTGAAAAAACGCAACCTAAAGCATCTGTAACCCGAGGTATGAGTGTAACTATACAACCTTTAGAAGATATCTGAAGGCAGCCCTGTACAGGGTACGTTTTTTTACATTTTTATGTTTTTAGATATGTTGGAAACCACCCAGAGCAGCTGGGGCAACCCAGTCAGATGGGTGTGGTATAAATAATAAAATTATTATTATTATTATTATTATTATTATATATGACATCCCAATTTTCATCAGAGAAATGTTGGAGGGTATGACATGGTGCCCTTAACCATCCTTCAAGTACCAAGTCCGTCTTCCCAGTGACAGGCCTTGCTCTGTTTACTTGGATGCGGCTACTTGGTGTGGGGGAAAAGCGGTGGCAGCGAGGAAGCAAAACCGACACGAACCATGTGCTCCCCCATCTGCAGACACAGGCGTAATCTTTCCGGCAGGTGTACATAAAAGATTTATTTTTGAATTAGCATGCTATTGATTTGTATTATGTAAAGCCCCATGCCGGGGGCCTGGAGCAGCCAGCCGGCATTATGTTCCCATAGTGCGCACGGGGCCAGATCTATCGGAATGCCGCAACAGTGTCAGCGATGCTGCAGGTGCTTCGTTGTCACGAGGATGAATGGGATTAGCGTCGGTGATGGTAAAGTCGATCGAGCAGCGGGTGGGCCCCGGCGTTTAACTTCTGCTAAGAGATGATCTGGAGGCTTCCAGTCCCCTTGGAGTCTGTGCTCCTCTGACCTGGAAGCCGTGGTCCCCGAGTCCTGGTGAGAAGGGGATGGAGGCAGCTCTGGCAAAGGAGTTTTCACAGAAACACAGAATCGCAAAGTCAAGGAGGGGACTCCAGGGGTCATCTAGTCCAACCCCCTGCAATGCAGGAATGACAGCTAAGGAATTCCTGGCACATGGCCATCCAAACTCAGAGAAGTCTACTTGTCAATATCCTCCATAAACTGTGGTGCCCAGAACTGGCCACAGGTCCTCAGAAATGCGTTCTTCTTGCCATTTTTGCACACTCACAAGGGCTGAATCTGGGCCACCTAGAATCATAGAACTGGGGGGGGACTCCAGAGGACATCTAGTCCAACCCTCTGCTCAGAGAGGATTGGCAGGGCAGGATGCAACTGCCTCATCCCTCACAATTTGGCTGGCCGGCCTCCTACTTAAGCACCTCCAGGGTGCCATTTCCCAAGGCACACAGCACACAAGTCTTCTCCCAAGGAATCCTGGGAAGGGTAGTTCACACATTGCAGAACTACAGTCGCCAGCACCCTTGACAAATTATACAGTTCCCGTGATTTTTTGAGGGGGGTTGCTTTAAATGTGTGGTATACACACACCCCTAGTTCCACACTGTAATTCTTACTGTTAAGAATCTCTGAATAGGAAACCCTCAAATGCGGCCCTCAAGGCCTCTCCATCAGGCCCTTGGGACTTCCCCCCAGGCAGGAGTGCCAGCTTGGTCCCACGACCGTGGGTGCATGGAGCTGTGGGTGCCATGCAGCGGGCACAGCTGTGGCACCGAAATTTGGGGGTACCCAGCACCTTCATGTGGAATTTTGTGGGTGCTTGGGCACCTGGGGCCCCAGGGAGTTGGCACCTATGCCCCCAGGCCACATGCACCTCCTTTTTCCCCCCAGAACACACCCCTTCACACCCTCTGTTGTTTCCAAGTTGGAAAGTGTCACTGGGCAATGGTCACACTTCTTGTTAGTTCGTATGGAGGATGGAGGGGCAGTGGTTGTGTGCAGAAGCAAGCCTATTGCACAAAGTTAAAATTAATATTTGTTACTCCTCCAGCCAAAATCTGCTTCCTTGAAATTTCCTATCTTTGGTTCTAATCCTACCAACAACCATCATAATGTCTTGGAGCAGCCCACAGAGAATCCTTTTCATATCACCACATCACTGTTTTACTTCAGGAAATTCACTATTGTATCAGTCTAACCAGTGCAAGTAGATAATAGGTACCGCTCCAGCGGGAAGGTAAACGGCCTTTCCGTGCGCTGCTCTGGTTCACCAGAAGCGGCTTAGTCATGCTGGCCACATGACCCGGAAGCTGTGCGCCGGCTCCCTCAGCCAATAAAGCGAGATGAGCGCCGCAACCCCAGAGTCGGTCACGACTGGACCTTATGGTCAGGGGTCCCTTTACCTTTTTAACCTACTTTGGAGGCTTGTTGTGCAGACATGAATCTTAAAAAGATTGTGACATCTGATGATATTTGACTATAGTACTCGGCCACAGTGTTTTATTTCCATCAGTTGTTGTTGTTTTTTAACTTGATGGTTTGATTGCTGGCATGCAATAGTGTTTCATATCTGACAGTGTTTGGTAGTGTTTGGTAGATTGAGAGAAACAAAAATTACCTACCGTACTTCCTATTGGAATTGAATTTCTTATTGTGAGAAGTGAAAAGCTATGACTTCTGAGCTTCAGAAAGTCTGAAGAAGAAGAAGAGTTTGGATTTGATATTCCGCCTTTCACTCCCTTTAAGGAGTCTCAAAGCAGCTAACATTCTCCTTTCCCTTCCTCCCCCACAACAAACACTCTGTGAGGTGAGTGGGGCTCAGAGACTTCAAGGAAGCGTGACTGGCCCAAGGTCACCCAGCAGCTGCATGTGGAGGAGTGGAGACGCGAACCTGGTTCACCAGATTACGAGACTACCGCTCTTAACCACTACACCACACTGGCTCTCACATCTGGAATGCCTTTACATAGAAAAGCATATGGTGGGGTCATTTTTAAATGATTTTTTTTCCATTTTGAGTCATTTGAATGAGCCATGCAATAATCACTTACGATCTTAGTGACTTGTGTTTTAGACGCTCATTCAGTTTGGTTACATCCTGTGGTCATATTTGGCATGAGACAGTGTTTACGCTTTGACCATTTTTTAATAAATGACACGCAATGTCACCTCTCTTTTTTTTCAAAATTGAAATGCAATGTTATTAGCAATTGGTAGCTGATAAGCAATGGTATTGGCTGGCAGGAGGCATGTGATGGTATTTCATGTTTCACAGCTTACATACAATATCTCTTAGGATGTTTGGAAGGCATGTGATAGCATGAGTGGCATTTCCCCGCACTCTAGTCTTTTCTGGTGGTCCATGATCTTTCCTCCTCCACCCCTATAATTCCCATTATTCCCACCCCAAAACAGTAAAGTCTGTCTTTGAAGGAGAAGCACTGCAACTATCATTCTGAAATTTAGCATGTTTCATACCCTCAGAAGGGTGAGCATGCCTGCAGATTGCATCCAAGTCTGGAAGAAAACAAGACTTGTTTCTAATAATAATAATAATAATAATAATAATAATAATAATAATAATAATAATAAATAAACACCCAAACTTTAAGGGGTGCTCTGCCCAAGCCCCCCAGATATATCATCTGCTTACAATTTGGCAAGCTTGCTCCAATCTGGAGGACCTGTGCCTGAAAATGTCACCTACTTTTCCAAAAAGGGGATATATATCTCCATTTTTTTATTCCCCACTACAGTGAATGGGGAGAAAATAGGGCTTTGTTTCTGATAAGATCTAATTTGAGTCAAAGTGGATGGAGCAACTTCAGAACAGATTGGGCTGCTTCCCAAAGCTACAGATGTGAGTCAAATATTGTAGCCACCTAGCGGATGAAGCTGGTTGCTTGGTGCTCTCAGTATGAGGTGTCACTGAGGACTAGTAACCCAAATGCTAAATTTGTCAATGGCCGGCGCATTCACCATGTGTCCTCTGCCTCTCCAGCCACTGCTGTGCACTGTGTATTGTTGAGTGACTTTGGCAGCTGCCAAACCAATCCCGTAGTTGCTTCTTCTCTCTGTGTGTTTTCACGCTGGGACTCTGCGGGGCCCCTGGATCCCATGGGAGGGTCTAAAAGAGAGACAAAACTGCAGTTGTTATAAGTCCGCAGTGAGACAACTAAGAAGAAACCTTTTATAGCGGTCATGTAGCATGCAAATTGCTGGTCAAACATTATGAAACGTCATTAGCCCTGGAGCAAAGTTGAGTGAATTCATATGTGCTTCTGAATAGATCTGCATGGACGCTGCTCTTTTTCAGGAGCATTGACAGTCACCCTCACAACAGCCTTACAAGGTAGGCCATATTATTATCCCCACATTGCATATGAACATGTGGTGTAGTGTGGTAGCCAGCATGCCGCCTTGAGCCAGGATGAAAATGCAATGAAACGGTGTTTTAAAAGTTCCTGAGGGGCCAGAAGAATTTGGCCGGTGAGAATTTACTTCTTTCACAGCTAGTTGGATTCCAAGCCAATCTTAATCTGCCTTGCCCAATTGTACAGCAAAAGGATAAGTAGGATTCATAGCAGGCAATCCCTCTGCGGGTTTATGAAAGTGGACAATTCTTAACAATAAACCACCTCAAATCTTGTGTTTCAAAAACATCTGGGGTGGCAGGGGGTCAAGCAAGGGAGGGAATATGGGTCTGTGAAATATCTACACATTTGCATTTTTCAGTCTTCGGATATCGCTTCCTTGCCGACTGCCAGGGAGAAGGAAGCTCAGAGGCTGTCTTTTAAATCATTCTCCCTTGCAGAAGTTCTATCAGGGAAAAAAGCCATTAATAAGAGGGTGGGGTGGGGGGGAGAAAGCATTACCATCTATTATTTGCCATAACATGAGTTTAAAACCAGGAAGTCGAATGATAAAATATGTGGTTGGTAAGTCTGGGGAGGGACAAGTGGAATAAGTGATAGCGCTGGGCCTCCGAGCCTTCAACTTAATGTGCTAAGTAAATCCCCGAGGTTAAAAATGTATGGAAATTGTTGCAGCTCGGGGAGACATATTTTTAACTCTCCAAAAGGTTCCTGCAAATCTACTGCCAGGGTTTCCCCCCCCCTTCTTCTCTCTCGTCCAAGAGTTGCACCAGACGAACAACTCTTTAGCATTTCTTTGTGTGAGATGACACACTCATTGCGCTGCTGTGCTGTACTTGGGACTGGTTCAAGGTCCTAATCTACAAGGCACCTCGATGACTTGGGTTCTAGGACACCTTGAGGACCGCCGGACAACCTTATATATCCCTGCCTGCAGTTTGCAACCTCCTAGCCCTTAAAAAACTAACCCCGCTCTTGAAAATACCCCAGATCTCTCACACGCATGATCAGCCTATGAATGAACTTGTGAAATTGTTTCGCAGGCAGATTTCAACACGGCAGTAGGTATGCAAACGTACTTGGGGACAGTGGGAGGCTAAATTATTGCCAAGGTTCACAGACCCTGACCCTGAGGGCACAGAAGATGGGGAAGACTAGGGGTATTAACCACATTTGGAGAGAACTTGCCTCGCAGGGGTGTCTAGTGGGAGTGGACCCACCGTTGTAGGGGGTTGGACTAGATTACCGTTTGGGTCCCATCCAACCCTACAGTTCTATGATTGTATGTATACCAACCATTGCTTTGCCTGTGGAAGTAGGTCTGTCCCCCTCTGACTCAGAGGACGACAAAGCCCTCTGCAAGGCAAGTAGGGAATCCATCGCCACCCTAGAACTGAGATAGACATACATCTCTCAGTCTTCCCAGAGCCTATACCAGAGGGACAGGACATAGTCCCTTTATGTCACAGTAGGTTCCTGCAGAGAGGTTGTGGCTAGAGGAAACCCCTTGACTGCAGGACAACGTTGTGGCCAGCTGCCCCACACCACCCCCCCCCCCCGACTGTTGCTGCAGCAACATCTTGGACTTGCTCTCCTGAATTTGCCTTACATCCAGCCTCTGGTACTTCCTCCTCCCTAGGGAGCTCTCCAGGGTCCTGATCTCCTGCACTAAGCCTGCCAAGCCTTGCCAGAAATATACCAAGGCCCAACTCTGACACTGGTCTTTGATTCGGGAATGAAGATTACAGGGTTGTGCTTTAAAAAACAAACTGGGGTCTGAAGGAAAAGGAGGACTTAGCACCCAACAAGCAGAAAAGAGTCCAGGATCTTAGAGTCAATGCTGTTTCGCTTTCAGTACAGCCACGCTTTTCAGCCTCTGGTCCTTGTTGGACGTCAAGGCTGAGCCACTGGAGAGAGCCAGGGCCCAGGGGCAACCAAGAGTCGAGGCAGCAGGGCAATCAGAATATCAGGCTCAGAAGGCCGGACCAAAAAGTCAGGCCAGAAACACAAGGCAAGGCATAGCTCAGGTTGGCCATGTTGCTCAAGCAACCACTAGCAGGAAGAGGTGTGCCTTCCTGCCCAGGAGCAGCCAATGGCCATACAGGGTGGGTGGAGCTTGGTCAGACCCGGAAGGTTCTTCCTTGAGAGGCCGCAGTGATGCAGCTCGCTACATGGGGCAGTGGTCAGCAGCTCCTGACCATGGATCCTGCAGCAACTGGTTTCAGTGACCACTTCCAAATCCAGTCCTCTTTTAATTGGTTAAGCAAAGGTGATCTACCTATAGGCAACTAATGTCACTCTTCTTTTGTGGTTTGCATACCTAGTTTATTTCACAATATATACAAGGACAAGGGTTTGCCACTGGGGGTTCCAGATACAAACGGAGTGGTCAGCATAACCTGCAACCCCAATTGTGAACCCAGAAAATTGATGCTACGCATGTCCAAGTATGAAGGGATGGGGGGGGGAGGTCTTTTTTGGCGTGTTTGTGTCGGCTACGCAATCCATATTTAAACAGGCCCTAAGCTTGTCATCCAACGCTCATGCACACCACTCAGCCATCCTTTAACCTCTGAGTGAAATGTCACAAACGCGGTATGTAGATTGAAAGGCGAGTAATTGATCCCTTTGTGCGATGGCGGCAGCGCAGTGTTTAGACTTTGCTTGCCAGCCCCTTCCCCCCACCCCCAGCCCACCTCGCAAGCTCCCCGTCTCCCTATTGAGCCAGCCATGCTGTTGAATTTATGAAGAGAGATGTTTTAGCAGAAAATCCCCCAGAGTCTCCCTTCAAGCCTTAAATCCCCAACCTGTTCTCCCCAGGAGACCTCATGACACGGAGCATGGCAAGCCAGCTTCCTCTTGCTTATGCATTAGCCATCTATTTCAGCTTTCTGACATCTCTCACACATAAAACGGTAAGAGAGAAATAAAATATCAGTCTCTGGGCGAAAATAAAGCTTTGCCTCCCTCCTGATCTATAGGATATAAAATAAAGCCGAGACTTTGATAGTGGCTTTTCCTTATGCTGGGGTTGTTCTTCCACACAGGAAGACAATGAAGATGGATGGCGCAGATTCTCCAGGTTTTACTTCACCCTTTCTTTCCTTTTATTCTTCTTTCGTCTTTGTCAGTTCCCCCCTCTTTCTCTTCTTGTTTTTAAATTCCCTCTTCGGATCCTCTGTTCCTGGCTGCACTCCTTGGTCACGTAATAATACCTTGCCAACATTTGTATAGCACTTTCAGTCATTCAAATCATTTCCCATAGAATCATGGAATTGTTGGAAGGGACCCCAAGGCAGTGGCATAGCGTGGAGTGCCAGTGCCCAGGACCACATGGAGGAGGATTGGTGGGAGGGAAGCGGATGGAGTACGCATGCACATTCAGCTGCATAATGTTATCCGCATCACCCAGGAGATCACAGCCACAGAGATAAGAAAATAAGAGTTGTTGCGTTGTCTGGAGAGGTCACATCCTGGTTCTCATGGAGAAGCCGTTTTCAACGGAGCCCAGTGACGAAACTGCACAGCTGTACTGAGGCAGCACCGGGTGCTGAAACTTTACGCCCCTAAGAATTTTGTACCTAGGGCAACCACCCCTGGGCCGCCCACTACACCACTGCCCCAAGGGTTATCTAGTCCAACCACCTGCAATGCAGGGATCCCTACTTCGTACCTCATCCAGATCAGGGGTAGGGAGTCGAAGGACCTGGGCAGTCAAATGTAGCCCTCAAGTCTTCTCCATCAAGGAGGCTCTCTAGGCCAGTGTTTCCCAACCGGTGTTCCGCGGCACACTCGTGTGCCGCGGAACGTTGCCTTGTGTTCCGTGGGAGGGAGGCGGGCGACTCAGGCGGCGAAAGGCGGGGCGGCGGTGGCGAGCACACGCGGGGCGGCGAGCGAGCTCCCTCCCACATCCCATCGCCGCTCGCTTCGGCCGGCCTACTGGAGCGAGCGGCGATGGGATGTGGGAGGGACCTCGCTCGCCGCCCCGCGTGTGCTCGCCACCGCGCCCCGCCTCTCGCCGCCCGAGTCGCCCGCCTCCCTCCCACGGCACACCAGCCTACCTCCGTGTGCCTTTGCCCAAAAAAAGGTTGGGAAACACTGCTCTAGGCTACAGTTCCTGCCCAGAAGACAAATGAGTAGAAAAGTTCCCGATATGATGCTTCATATCAGTGGCTCTACAAATTTTACCCTTTCTGGGAATGGGAATCTGGGGATCATCGTTCGTCTTACTCACCTACCCTTAGATGCCTACAAGACACACAGACCAGACTCCCCATCTCCCTTCTCTGGAACTTGACCGCCATCAGCCTGACATCTTCATCCACATCGTCTGCCTCTGGCCCTCTGCTTGTTCCAGAACCAAACCCTTCCCCTCCAGCCCTGGGCCGCCTTGGAACTCAACCAAGACCTGACAAGCCCAAGCTACACATCTGCACACAGGCCTTTGTACTGCAACCCCAATGGCAGTTTTTAAGAAAAAAGCAGCTTCAGGGAGAACCGATTTTTCAGTCTAGCAAATGATGCAGGCGGCTCTGCCCTTCTGCCACCATCGCACCTTCCCTCTCCTAAACTGCTTTTCCACCATCATCACAGAGAAACGTTTTTCAGGGCAAAAAAGCACCTGGAAGCCTGCAAGGGGGAATGTTGGAGGGGAAAGGAGTTGCAGCATAAAAACAGGAGGAGGGTAGGGGTTAGGTGCCTCTCCTCTGCACTTCTCAGCTGAAAATGAAGGCTACTTTTCCCTTTTGGGGAA